ACTGGCGTGTTTCCAAGTGCTGGAATCAGCCAGTCTGCCCCTGACTTGCAGCCACTAATACAACTAAAACGGGGAAGTTGGTGCCACCGTCAGATCTACCAACTGTTTTTAGGCACAGTTGGCTGGGCTTTTCTGACCACCACTAGAGCTTCCATCGTGCCGGGCACAAAACCAAAGCGTTGGCTCCAAGTCGCGTAAATCTCGTAAAGGGAAATCGCGCTATGGTAGCAACGCTTCGGTTTTCTTACTACTAGCGAATGGTCCTTTTCCTCCGCACAGAAACCACCAATGCCCCAACAGAAAGGCCCAGCATTGGGATGTGGTGGAAAAAGGAGAAAAAGAAATGCTCACGACTGAGGGTTGACATCTTGATTAGCGACAGCAAGCATTACCCTCTAAATACATCGTTGCAGCGCGTCGTATACAATTTCTCTTTTTCATCTGAATCATTCACATCTATTCCGCAGTTGCCCCCTTCAACCTCAGCACCATCGATGTACCTTTTCCAGCCAGGCTCCATAACCCCAGCGTTGCGCACAGAGCTCTTCTCAAACTCTACGTCGTACGTACATGTACGCTCGCGGCACGATGCAGCGCATGGCAGCCCTGTTAAGGTGGGAATGCAGCCATCCTATTTAGGTAGGCGAGCAAAACACGTTGTGAGAATGGCGAATCTGCCTTTTCGAATCTGCCTTTTTCCCCTAAAATAAATCAATACTTGATAGTGCCACGAGTCTGAGCAGTCCAAGGTACAGTTCTAAAGTGGGAAACGAACAGTGCCCTGGTCAGGATCATGGGTTATGCGAAAGCGCCCAGGGTCCTCTGTTCACCAATTGGCACAACCCTGGAACATTGTCATACTGCGCATCGCTGGCGCACTCTTCCGTGCCAGGCCCAACCTCGACGTACCGGTACATGTCAACGTCCATCACTTTCATCCTCGACGCCGGTTTCCCGCTAGGCAAAACGCAGTGGTCATCTTACAACTGCCGTGGTCGGTTGTATCGTGGGCGATGCTGTGATCGACGGCGCCAGGCTTGCCTGTTGGTGGGCGGGCCCAGAAAACACAACAGGCTCAAGTAAGGGACAGGCACAGATCATCGGTCACGACGTGAATCAGGGCAATCAATAGAGCCAGAGGAAAGCAAAGCCGAAAAGTAAGACATTCACGACTCCGATACGACTCCCAAAGGACGGATACCACTTGCCGAGAGCGCACTATTGCAGCCCGCGCACTTGGCGAACAACGGACGTTGTCTGTTTACCAGTCGAAAAGCAAAGACCGCAGGCAGACAGAGCATAACTCGGTCTTGTGGATTTGCATTTCGCAATTATCCATTTACACCTACGCACTATGCTGATCCCCCTATCGTCTTGCAGCCAAAGGGCGGGAGCGAAGTCCTCCCAGCTTTTCTGCAATCCACAGAACCACTTATGCCCGATGGGACACCACGGTCAGGACGACGGAAATCCCTGCCGTTGGTTGTGGATACGGGAGTTCAGACGATGCCTTATGTCGTGATATATTATACTTTACAGAGTTGTGATGTATCTGTGCAAGGATCAAGAGTGGACAGGGCGGACATTGCACGAAAAAAAGTAAAAAAAAAAAAAAAAAAAAAAAGACAAGATGCTACTTTGCATTGGCCGAGGCTCTGCCGTATTTTTCGGAAAATACAAATCTGCGGCTCGTCTGAAAAGGAAATAAGAATAAGAAAGTACCAAACGTTTTACATTGACGTTGAAAATAAAAATAGTCACGGAAAAGTGACATAACCCCAGTTAAAGAAGGGAACAAAAGAAAGGAATAAAGAAAGAAAGAAGAGAACCAAAAAAAACTTGTAATGTCAATGCGAGGGAGATCACCTAAAGCACGCAAGGGCCAGTGATCAGCACCTTACAAGAAGCAGCCACCTCGGAGACAAAAGAGGGTGAGACAAGACATTTGACATGTGCAAGACAGTTCTCACGTTCCCCCAGTTTATGTCACCACGGCACGCGGCAGCCACATCCTGAAACCGTGAACCTTTTGATATGGGATGCAGAGTTATTCTTTTTATTTTTTCGAAAGAAAAAGTACGACATTCAGATCGCCGCCCGTCACTACTTAAAGCAATAAGTGATGGCGTCGAGATGATACAGTCTTCCAATTGTCTTGCTTTGTGACAAGGCTTTAAAGCCATGTTGAGGGGCGACCTGCGGAAAATGAAAGTTTGATATTTGTAGTAGCCAAAGATATAAAAGTAGTGATACTCGCAGGTCGTTGTATTTTGGTGGTCCTTGATATTAATGATCAAAGCAAAGGGAAGTAAAGCACCAAGAGCACGGCAAGTGGGACGAAAGATGTCAAAAATGTCAATTTGTAAAGGAAGACCATAAGCTCAGTCTAAAATTCTTGCAGTGTGAAAGTGAGACAGTCAAAAAAAAGTAGGATTGAATACCTTTTTGATTGAACAAATAATTTTCGTCTGTGTTTCATTGTTGTGTAATAAAGTAAACTATATTAAGGAGAAAAAACGGAATAAAGAATAAATAAATCGTGATTTCTATGAACAAAATTATTTTACGCAGTTGGTTACTTCGAAGTGTTTCAATTTCTTTCTTTTTTTGTCGTTTTTCTTCCTCTACCTTCTTTTTTTTTTTTCATTTTTTTTTTTTCATTTCTTTTAAAAAAACAAAACCACACTTTTGAACTCATTTGTATTTGTATATGCACATACAAAAGAAATGCTAGATTTAAATACTGCACTGAAATTGATGCCGTCTTGATGATTTGCCCCAGGAGATGTTCGTAGCCACTCTAAACATTCATACATCATGTTGTCACAGTGAGATGCAAGCACGCAGTGGGTGGCCTTGGAACACAGCGGCACGAATACTCCATTACCTTACGATACAGTTCACCCGGGAAATTTTTTTTCATGAACTGCGTATAATATTTTGGAAAATAAAATTACAAATAAATAAAGTCAACAAAAACGACACTGTCATGCATTTGCTCTTCACAAGAAGCCGTGGTCGAGCTACATGTACGGTTGGTAGTAAGAGAAGTAACAGTGTCGATGAGTTTCCTTAGTCATGGTACCCAAATACCTCGGAGTTGGGTGTAATGCTTTCCTCAATCTATATATGAGATTATGGTTGGATGTGAACTTGGCTCCTTTGGACCGGGACATGAGGTGCTCTAGCACTTGACCTTTGGTGGCGTGATGTATACCTCTGCGACCAGCACAATTTCTGCGCGGGTACTTTCGTATATGTTTGTATGACGACGCGTTGTAAATGCGAGATGTTGGCCTCCCCAGTCTTGACCGAGACAACAACAAGTTGAGAAGTTGCTGGCTTCGCGCCTTTACGGAGAGACGCGGAAGATTGTGTGCATGCGTTCTTTTGCCTTCAACATGGTCCAACTCCCCGTTGCATGAGACGTCGTATCCGGCTTAGCGCCACCAGTTGCATGCTTATTGTTGAATTTACCCGATCGTTGCCATCGGAGCCCCGGTTTCCGTTTGATGTGGTGTGCAATACGGTGGGCGACATACGCCGCATGCTAGCTGTGTGGGCATGAAGTCATTTTTGTGCTCTAGACCAGGCGTCTAGCCTCGTCGCATCTAGACTCTACAGCTGTTTGTGGCTGTTCTCGCCCTTCAATTTCAGTGACAAAGTATGACCTGACAGTGGGCATTTCGATGGTTGGCGGGCCACGGAGTTCTGTCCTCGCCTAGCTTTCAGCCACGCTCCTCTACGCTCCTTTCCGCCCGCTCTCTTTTCCGTTCGTCACCATTGGCTGAGAAGCGGGACGAGCCACGCCGCGGCGTTTGATGTGGCCTCCCGCCCGCAGCTGTCCATAAATCCTACAACAGCATTCCAAGCGAATCAATCGGAGCTAGGAAAAGCAACGTCTGCCCACTTTTAGCTTCCGAAATTTTCTCAATGTTTCGCCATGGTGCCATTATTTGCAATTGTGAGATGCCGGGAAATGTGTCGCACGTCGTATGTTGTCGTTCTTTGGCTCGATTTGTCTGCCTCGCGTCCTGTAAGGCGAGCAGCCAATGAGTTTGTACCGGCGATTACTGCTAATCGCTTTCTGCTCATTGGCCTACCTGGTGCGTTGGCCGTCGCAAGAGTCCATCGCACGGCGTGGACAGAGGCACACGGGACAGCCTTTGGCTGGCCCCATCTTATCGGGCTCTTTCGCCGCGGAGATGCAGTTACAAGGCTTAGATCTTATTTTGTTCCTTATCTTGCCACCGTTTGCATTTCTTTATCTGAAGCCTTGCGTTTGCCTGCCAAAATACGGCTGCACTCCAAAAACATGCACTCCAACAGACTGCACTCCAACAGACTGCACCCCAAAAGGCTGCCACACCAAAAGGCAACGGCCATAGATCTTTCGAAAATCGTACCTGACTACGGCAGGCCATTGAACCTTTTGTTTTTGATCGGCGCCGTGCCCCCACGGCGATAAGGCGAATGCTACGGCGTTGAAAGCACCCAGTAATGACTCCGATGATGTGAACCGCCACAACGTCCCATAATATTTCGGCCGCCTGGTGGCTCCATTTTAATCGTTAATGAGTTTCCGTTGCCGTTCCCGCTCTTCGTGCGTCCCCATACGAAAAAAGTACTGGATGGAGGCACGAAAACGCCGGAGATGCTCGTTTCACTCTTTTTCTGTGCTTAGGTTCCGCTCCTCTTTGTGTCATCGTGCCACATCTCTCCGTCCGTTCGGGTGCAGATTCTTCAACCCCAGAGGGCAAGGCCCGGTCTTACAAGCTCCCATAGATTAAATTATGGACGAGGATAAATAGAAGAGTAACGACCGCCCTGACGGTGTACGTTCATAAATGCTCCCAATGATTCCCTGACGGACCATCATCTTCATCAACGTCACCGAGACAGCCCAAGCAAACATATCCAGGGGTATTTTTTTAAACCCTGCTCTCGAAAACCTGATCCGTCTTCCACTACCAGCCCCGTAACCGTAACCAACGGACAAAATGGCCAGTGCTGAGACACTCCAGCGCCCGGATGTCTCTGAACCCAACGGCCCGGTGACGCCACCAGGCTCGAAAGTGGTCCCGGCGGTGACCCCGGAGCAGATTTCCATCGTCAAGGCCACCGCGCCTGTCCTCAAAGAACACGGTGTCACCATTACGACGGTCTTTTACGAAAACATGTTGAAGGAGAACCCCGAGCTCAAAAATGTCTTCAGTCTTACGTCACAGGCTACCGGTGCTCAGCCCCGTGCTCTGGCTGCTGCTGTCCTGGGCTATGCCATGTTCATTGACGACCTGCCTCGTCTCCACCACGCCGTCGAGCGCATCGCCCACAAGCACGCCTCCCTCCAGATCCAGCCCGACCAGTACGACATTGTCGGCAAGTACCTGATCCAGGCCATTGGCCAGGTGCTGGGCGACGCCGCCACGCCGTCCATTGTCGACGCCTGGACAGCCGCCTATGGTGTTTTGGCCGACGTCTTCATCGGCCGCGAGCGGAGCCTGTACAACGAGGCACGCGCCCGCGACAACTTCAAAGGCTGGGCCGGCTGGCGCAAGTTCCGTATCCAGCGCCGCGAGTACGCCGCGGCCCCCGATGACGAGGACAGCGGCGACAGGACCGCCACGGCCAGCAAGGACGGCATTCTGAACTTGTACCTGGCGCCCGTCGACGGCAAGCCGCTGCCGACCTACGAGCCTGGCCAGTACGTCAGTCTGCAGGTGTTCGTGCCCGAGTTTGGCGTGCTCCAGAGCCGCCAGTACAGCCTGAGCCGGGCGCCGCGCCCCTCGGGCGACTGCTACCGCGTGAGCGTCAAGCGCGACACCGGCCACAATGGCCAGACCACGCCGGGCCTCATCTCCAACCTGCTGCACAACGTCCTCAAAGAGGGCGACGAGGTCGAGCTGTCGCAGCCGCAGGGCGAGTTTGTCGTCGAAGAGACCCCGCTGCCGACCGCCGAGGATGCGGAGCGACCATCCGTGCCCACGGCCGAGCTGGCACCCATTGTCCTGCTGTCGGCCGGCGTCGGCGCCACGCCCGTCATGGCCATCCTCGAGACCGCCGCCCAGCACGGCCGCACCATTTCGTGGCTGCACGGCTCGCACTCGCGCAGCGTCCTCCCCTTCTCCAAGGAGGTCCAGGCCCTCCGCGCTGCCCACCCGGAGCGCATCCAGACCTACACCGTTCTGACCACGGCGGACGACGCGGACGACGCTGCTGCCGACCCCGTCGTCACCGGCACCCACCTCAAGATTGCCGAGCTGCCCGACGCCGAGCGCAGGACCCGTCTCTTTCTGGATAATGCCAAGACGGGCTACTACATTTGCGGTCCCAGCAGCTTCATGATTGAGTCGCGGGACGCACTGCAGAGCCTGGGTGTGGCCCCCGAGCGCATCCACCTCGAGCTCTTTGAGACGGGTGACCTGTGAAAGGTGTAAATGGCAAATTCGGACAGGGGAAATTTTAACTAATTGAACAGATACCAAACTATCCTTGCAGGTGCCATTGCGTTTTTGTTTTTGTTTTTCTTTTCTTTTTTTCTTCTTCTTATCGTACTTACTCTTTGTTATCACCGTAATGGCTCTGTTATTTGAAATTGTACTTGCTGGACAGACAGCCGATTTGCGTTGCGTTGTTGCTTAGCTTGCTAGGACAGATCTTCTCTCTGGAAATAATTTGCAAAACATTTTGGAACTTCTCTTAGAGCCACAGCATGGTCCACGACATTTTGTGCAACCGTACGGTACAGGAAGGTGCGCAGGTTTACAGCCCCGCCCTCGGCTCTTGCTCGTTTGTGTGCAACGCTCAATGCTGTTGTTCGCATTCTGGTCGTCAGTGGCTGGTTGCACCTTCCTGTTTCTTACAACACCGTGTTCACAGTTGTCCGACAGCGAAAGGTAACCAGCCAAATGAGGAAACCACGAGGGAGTATGCGTACTGGTTGCCGCCTTTACAGTCCTAAGAGGACATACCGCTTCAGTCCACTTAGCTCACCTCTCTTTTGTGTATTGTAGTACACTGTATGGTTTCGATATGATGTACGAAAAGATGCCTCCCCCTAAAATATGTAAAAATGGCAAGAAGAATTGTACGATTTGTAGGGGAGGCACAGTGTCTCGACCTTTACAAGGCTGGGCACATCAATTCAGGTACCAGTCGGTCCTTCCTCAACGCCCGATCCTTTGGGTTGCTCCTTCTCCGCTGAAAATCTGCCGAGGTCGTTCTTCGCACCTTCCTTCTCTTTATTTCATGTCAAGGGAAATTCGTAGCGAGGTGCATGTCTTTAGAAAAAGCACATATTGTTGCGTCTGCCGTGCAACACTCCATATGCAATTCACAGCGTGCTTCGGGTATTGCGTAGTACCATGACGCCGCCAAGTCCTAGGTTGCCGTCGTTTTCTTACGTGCCTCTCTAGTAGGTCAATTCTCCTCGTTCTTCGTGGGAACGTGGCCATCCTGGGGCACCTTCCTCGTATTACGAAAATGCTGCGGGCAACTTCCCCAAAAAGAAGTACATGCCCTTGACTGGTGTCACGCACCTTCCTTTCTGTACCTTTGCTCAGGAACTGTACATCTTTTTTTGTGTCCTCACGCTGTCTTTCCCAAGTCGTCTTTTGGCTTCGTTTTGTCGTCTTCTTTTCCACATCGAGCTTCGACTTGGGCTCCCCTGACACTGTTTATCGACGGCATGTAGCACAATTGCAACAGCGTATCGCCCACTTCTCGCCAATGTCTCGCTCATCGCATTTGTCTCTCGTCCTCGAATCCAAGTCAAGGTCTCAGGTTCGACACTGTATTTCGTCGGAATTCCCCAATTTTGGCGTCCGCATGGCCCATTTGTAGGTTGTTCTGCGTTGCCCACCCATCTCGTGTCGTCTTCTGATGCAGTCTGCATCTTAACCTGCAAGATCGGGCAATGTGCGAGTCTGCAGCTAATCTGATGGAAGCTCATGGGGTTTCTGGCTAGCTAACAGCACAATTTCTATCCCAAGGCAACGCCACCACGGATCTCTCAACCCCAGTCGATTTGTTTGCATTCCCTTGTATGCCGTGTTAAGCAGCACGAATGGCGAGACAGTGACACCACTACCTCAATGTATCCCTTCCCGATAGGTTCGTCGCTTTCTCGAGACACTGCCTTGGGTAGCACGACCTCAACCGTCATCCCCCGAGACATTTGCGTTTTCACACGGCAAAGGACTGTTCGGTTTACTTCCACCAAAGACTTCGAAATCAGACGACAGCCCCTAAAACATGGCGGTGAACGGGTTCCCATTTTGCGGTCGCTCTTCGTTTCGCTAGCAGTCTGCGACAGCTTTGGACATTACACTGCTATTATTGTGCGCAGCATTCATCTTTTTTGGGTAGCCCGGCTGGAATCGATGTGGTGATACTTGAAGACGTCTCGAGGCTTATGCCATGACTAACGTGCTTTTGTCTCATAGAGTTTTGTCTGCATCTTTTTGATAAGGTTGCACGAGATGCTGCACTTCACCGCCCCCATCAGTTGCCGTCCCGGCTATCGCCGTGCCCTGGTAATTGCTCCGTTCAAATGGTAAAATCTGGGCCGGGAGTGTCCAGATCTCTTGCAGACAAGATATATTGCCTGGCACGGACGTTCGAGCACGTTCCTGTCCCAAGCCCTCGGCTCGTCTTGCCACCAAAAGGCCACTCATACAGGATCAAGGCTCGATTGCATCCGGCCCATGAAAAGCAACAACCTTGACGACGACAAGGGTCTAGCCATATTTTGCACTGCAAAGTAGCCGAGTCTGCATCCCAACCCTTGTCCGCTTTTGTGTTTCTTCGTGCAAATGCAGGCTAGTGCAGGATCTGTTCCTTCTTTGTGATACAACGATCAGGTTCACCATATCTTGACAACAAATACATTCAATGCGGGAGTGCCGCCTCGAGCACGACATGAGTCCCACATAAAAGCCATACACGAACTCGATTGAACACGGATCATTACACCCCTAAGATGTGCAGTTTATGGTCTAAGCACTGCGTAACATCTAGGCTAACATCATTTTCATCGTTGGACTTGATGACCTTGTCCCCATGCTTTACACACAAGCATACCGCACGTCTCAGAAGCCACCATGCCGGCACGGTATCCTAAATCAAGGAGCAGCCAAGGTTCTGCATGTCGAGCGACCACACTGCAGCACTGAGGCGTATTTCCATTCGGATTACGACTCCCCAAAAAGGACTGGCGTGGTCAGCCAAGTCCTAGGGCTTCGCTGTGCATACCGCCAACGCAGGCTTCTGTGCGTTTTACCTTTTATTCCTCCTTTCTCTCTCGCTTGTTTATTCTCGTATCTGCGTGTCATCGCGTCTTTTCACCCCCGAGAAATGCTGTGCTCATGCACTAATGGCTCGGCTTTGTTGCAGCTCCTCCATTCGTTGACAACCTACCATAATGAACAGTGACGTTGTCTATGGTTCCTTCAGGTAAGTCCCGTCTCAAGCTGCCTCCCGTTAGTAGCCATCACCTTGGGCCAAGTCCGCCTCCCATCTACTGCGAGGTTCCACATAAGCATTCTTCCATTATCTACGAGCCGGCAACAGAATATGGAAGCATAGAAGGAGTATATATGGATATGATACCCCGTCCGATCTTAAACTAAGGTAGACGACGTGAATTTACCACCGAGGCTAATTTAGACCGGTTTGTCTTCAATTTTCGAACCACATCGCTCCGAGGTATGCTACTTCAAATTACCTGTCAATATTTCTTTTCCCTCGTACCGAGCATTGTTCGACAACCCTTCCATACCACAAGGCACAATGGCAGAAGGACCCATTCGAAGGGCGTGCAATCGCTGCCACACCCAAAAGCTGAGTTGCAAGCGACTTGGAAACGAACCCTGCGAGCGTTGCGTACGACTCAAGGCGGAGTGCAAGTCAAGTCCTTCTTTGCGATTCAGAAAATCAAACAGCAGTACCACTGTTGCCAACACGTCCACGCCACAACAAGATCACCGCTCTCATAAAAGAAGAAATGATGGTTTGGGACCCATGCCATTTTACTCACAGGCAGGAATACCATATCCTGGCCCGTACAGCTTTAACGGAATGGTCGAAAATCTGTGGCCAGCACACAATGTCGATGCCGGGCATCTCATCTACCCATTCGATGGGAACCAAATCCATCAGGCTCTGCCGCCACAGCATATCGACTGCCAGGGTGACCAGAGCATGCTATCTCGCGGGGATCGTATCTCAAGCTCAATGGACAACATACCAGAATCGTTACGGGGTTTGGGTACCGCGCCCACAAGTTCAACCTTTCAATTGAAGAACGACCTCACTCAGTTGTGGGTCACTAATCCGAGCGTCTGTCATGGCCCGTACGTCACAGAGCTTGCCAGACCCAACGAGCTAAGATGTGAGGTTGATGTGAAAGCGGTGCCGGGCATAGAGGTAATGCCTGAGACATCCTTCCTATCTCACATACCCCCAGACGGAGTGAGCTCCAACCGTTATCTTTCTGAAGATGCTTCTTATTGTAGCTCTTCACACCTCACGTCGAAAGACAGCCCACCAAAGCATCGCGCTGAACACCACATACCACGCAAGACTGTATCAAAGCCTTTAATGTCGAATCTCTGTGATATTAGTGCTCAGTTATGGGGCATGAGCAATACGATCACGACAGTGGGAAGCGGCGGCGGCATAATTCTAGAAGGAATGAAAGTCACACACAGCAGCCATGGAAGCTCCCGTGGCAGTACGCAAAGTGATGGCCAATCCCTGCAGGGAACACCACAAGATCAATATTTCCCAATGGGGGACCTATTTGCTGTCTCACGCAATTTTATTCAGGTGGTGCAAATTGCCTGCCTTGGCCAAAATGAAAACACGACACAGACCTTTACGGAGGACATTGTCGCCACTGGAAACAAGACGGGGGACCGAGTGGATGCCGAAAGCTTTGTGGTCCTCGCAAATTCGATATACGCAGCATTACTGGACGTATACCATCGCATATTCCATATTGTGGACGCTATCGCCAGCAGTGAATCTTACCCTCCACCCTCTCACAACAGCTGTGACAGCTTCATACCCACTAGCGAAGGCGACTTGAAGCAATCTCTACAGTCTGTGACAGCCTCAGCCTCGTGGAAAGACACGGCAGCACTCTCATGCCTAAAGGTCTTTCACTTTCCAGACGTGTCTGTCGGAGGGTTCCCCATTGTCTCAACACCGGCGCTGCAGCTCGGACTGGGGTTACGCCTGGCCGACGATTTCCTATGCCAGTTCGGAAACGTGGTCGCCATGACGCAGACTTGTTTCTCCTCCACCACGCATGTGGGGAGCGTGACTGTGAGTGCGCTGGCCGAACAACACCAGCAATCCTTGCCAACAGTGAGCGCCAGCTACTTTCCCCATCCTCCGTTGGTGGTGTCCAACGACCTCTGTGTAGGTGATGGCTTTGCCGGCCTCATGGATTGGGACGCGTCCGCATCGGCATCGACGGCGACATCTGTCTTTTCGTCGTCAGGAAGCAACAGCTTGTTCTTGTCGCAATATGGACAGGGCATGCACAGTTCCTCGCTTTTGGACGACGTTGTGCGTCGAGAGCACCAAGTAAGACAGGAGTTGGCGGGTCTGCGGAACAAGTTGGCAACATGAATGTGCGTTTTTGTGTTATGCGAGATGAGATGGAATGTCGAAGCTGCTGCAAATTTCGAATTTGCGCCTCTCGCTATGGTGTTATTTGCCTCTGTCCTGCCTTACTTCAATTTTGACCCAAGTTGCAAGCTTGTTGTGTTGTCTAAGTTTGGTTCACTTTCGCCTCCCATATTAATTGCATCTCTAACTCCGATAAACATGTTCCACGTGTGGCGAGATAAAGAATTTTCGTGATTTTTGTGAACCACATACGAGAAGGATCAAAAGTAAAGTAGATACTACAATACACGACATTGTAAATAAAAGGGGGGGCACAAATGTGCTGTCTACAGGAACATGAAACTTGGTTTCTCCACGGTTTGGTCCCGTGGTGAGTCCGAGGAAAGAACAGCAGAAGCCGAGAAGACGACATGGGTTTTACGGACAACAAAAAATCCGTCTCTGTCCGTATGTCATCGGAATAAAGATTACGTGGTGGGTTCTTTGGTACAGTGGGAAATGGGTGCAAAAGACTTACACGAAAACAAAATAACGCCGGCGATGAAACTAAAGTGCAGTACGACATACTAATTTAGGAAACGCGCCAGTGCTGGTGCGGGGTGGTCCCGCCTCTCGGAACTTGTCTGCTCACGCGGACGTTTTAGGGCAATTTTGGCGGCCGGCTTCGAATCACCAGGTCCCGACTTTTTGGTAGCGACTTGGAATTTGCTTTGTTTACATTCCCCTATTTTATCCCGCGTTCATCTTGCATTGCCATCCGCAAAATGCGAAAGACTACATAACTATCAGAAACAGTATATAAGGTTTGTCTTTGCTAATAAAATACATTTTCCCGTCGTTCTTGTGGCTCAAACTTAACACTTGGAAAATGAGCTTGTCGGCCATCTCTTCTACCCCACGCGTCATTGCAAATTCATTATGAACCAGTTGCTTCAGTGCCGTGCACCAGAAGCATGAGTCTTGTCGTGTATCCTATATGACAACTATAGTTGACTTGTAAGCTGTGAATTGGAAGCCACACTCAATGACCAGGAGCACGTGTTGCCCGCTTATTTTGGCCATTTCCCCAGTCTCCGAAATTAATAGTATGCATCTCACCACCGCGGGTATGTGCAGCCAGAATATAGATCTTTCACCATCCCCTGGCCCGGCCCAATTGGATTTGCGGGAACTAGAGCTGGGATGGGCTTGGTTGGCTTGGTATCCTTCGTATTTTCGGTGTGCCCTGGGCCTCTGTGTGGTGAGTGGCGAGGCCATGGGCGTATTATAGTATGATGTAGAGATGCGCAATCTATCTCGATCTAATATAGTGCAGACGCGAGTCTCTCGATCCGGTGCCAGAAGCCAGTCTACATTAACCAGATCATGTAAGTGTGTTTCTTATTTTATCCCGGGAAAAAATACTCCGGGGTGATCACGAGTTTACGTTATAAAATGTCAAAAGATATAGATCGCATATTGTCTCTTTTCGGTTATGTTTTACTACTAAAAATGATACCTGCTAGTATTGCGTTATCCCTGGAAAGAAACTAATTCCGAGCACCTGCCTTGGCTTGTAGTGTTCGTTCATCGGCACTTCCCCCTCCGTGCAAGGATGTGCTGCAAATATACCGAGATGATTTAGGCGTCCCTGTTGCCATGCACGTACGGAATTCCGAACACAAAGAGCACTAACCGGAGCCATCTTCTGCTACGGGCTCGTCTTCTAGGTTGATGCATACAAGCAACCTTGTCTTGAGCATGACCATATTCTTGTGGCCTGGGTATTCGGCCGAACCTAAAGTGCATGGGCAGCAACCCAGTATGTTCCCCTTGTCACTTCAATATGGGTTGTGCATGTAACCATGTGGTCTTTCAATATTTGTACTCCCCGTACTATGTGCTGCATGTTTGATTCCGTGCACATTTTGTGCAACAAGTCGACGGCACAGACGAACAAAGCACGATTTCCTCGTCTCAGTACCACATCACTGGCCGTCTCTTCTTCGTCAAGTCTTTTGTCCAAGGCACCGTGGATTCTTTCTCCGTTCACCAGAGAATGCACGTCATGTCAAGGAAAGGTGAGCGAGTCTCAATTTTAATTGCCCGATGGAACGAGAGTCGCGCCGATATTCAGAGTGAGTCTTTGTTTAATACTGTTTTCGACTGCAAGGATAGCCCAGGTAACCAGGTATATTTTTAATCCTTGCCCTTTAGTGGTCCTTGACAGACTGGTGATTCGCAGCCCTACTATGCTGTACGTTGCCACTTTCGATGCAATTTAATAACAGCCGACTTCCACTGCATGTCCAATGCTCTTCGTATCCAGCGTTCTGGGTCGCTTGGCACCGACCGCCGAGACATCTACAAATGCCCGTCCATCAATAGCAACAACAATGCTGTATGGGCATTCCTATAGGGTAATGAAATTCTTGCATCTACTGTTAGACGGTCTGCATGGAGAGGAGAAGTGTAGATTAGAAACTAAGAGTCGCTTCGTCGGCATATCGTTGTCTCTAGTACCCGTCGGCGCTGTCAACAAGCACCAACTTGCCTCTTTCAATATCTGTGATTCAATTCATAACCCCTTTCGTTCTATATTGTGCTTGTGGATGCGTGCCCACCACACCTTTCCATCAGACTGTCCTAATCCCTCGTCTCCATGTCGTTTCGCCTACACAGCCCTCGTATTTCATTACAGCCGTGGCCTGCGAAAGCATTGTGGTCGCCTCACGCCATCACAATGTGGTGATGCCATGCCAATGTTACTCTTTCCTCTATTGCTTTCTTCCACCTCTCCCGTATGATTTCCGGGCACCGTGACCGCGTGACCGCAATGTCATGTACCCTTTGCAAGGGAAGGAACGTCCCAGTTTATGTCGTGCCTTCCTACCATGAAGACAAAAAAGATCCTCCTTCTTTCCTAACTCGTCTTGGACTATATTGCAAAGCCTGTCTCTCTCTAGTCACCTGCGCAGATCGCTCCTTCCTCCTTCATTACTTTCACTATCTGCTGCGACCAGAAATGTCGCCTGACCAGTTACATATATATGCCCCCTTTCCGTCCATTATGTCTCATCTCTTGGCCCTCTCTCTCTCTTGACCTCTTCTTCCTTACTTCTTGTCTTCATCCCTAATTGTTTGCTCGAAAGTCTTCCTTTTTTTCCGAGAACTTCCCCATCTCCTCTTTCTCTACTCACATAACAAAGCAAAATGCCTTACAAACTTCCACCGTCGGAGCCGATTGCGGTCGTGGCAAGCAGCTGCAGGTTTGCGGGCGGCGTCACTTCTCCAAGCAAACTTTGGGACCTTTTGAGACAGCCGACAGATTTGTCTCGCAACGTGCCCCCCAGTCGGTTCAACGTACGTGCATTCTTCCACCCCGATGGCGACTACCACGGCACCACCGATTCACCCAAGGCCTACTGGCTCGACGATTATCAAGATATCCGCGAGTTCGATGCCGGTTTCTTTGGCATCGCACCGAAAGAAGCAGAGGCCGTTGACCCGCAGCAGCGACTCCTACTCGAGACCGTCTTCGAGGCTCTCGAGTCTGCAGGATACCAGCTTCCACAATGGGCCGGGAAAGATGTTGCCGTCTACGTCGGTGCCATGACCGCAGACTTCTACTCCGTATCACTACAGGACGACTTGACGACGTCTCCGTACTACGCCACTGGCAATGCGCGGTCCATCTTGTCCAACCGCATCAGCTACTTTTACGACTTTCATGGGCCCTCTGTCACCATTGACACGGCATGTTCCTCCAGTCTTGTTGCTTTGCATCAGGCTGTCCTCGGACTACGTGCCGGCGACTGCAGTGCTGCCTGCGTGGCCGGTGTCAATTTGATGCTCACACCGGAACAATTTGTCGTCGAGTCCAGTCTGCATATGCTGAGTCCCACCGGACATTGTCATATGTGGGATTCGCGAGCCGATGGCTATGCACGTGGTGAAGGCGCAGCCGTCTTGTTCTTGAAGCCGTTGCGCCGAGCCCTGGCCGATGGCGATGGACCACGCATTCAAGCTCTCATCCGCGAGACGGGGGTGAATTCGGATGGCCGCACCGCTGGCATCACGATGCCGAGCCCCACTGCTCAGGCATCTCTCATCCGCGCCACATACACGCGTGCGGGACTTGATATCACCGACCCTGCAGATCGCTGCCAGTACTTCGAGGCTCATGGCACCGGCACACCGGTCGGCGACCCCCGAGAAGCAAGTGCCATCTACTCCGCATTTTTCAAGGAGCGCGACGATCACTCCGACAAAGGGAACCTGGCTGGTGCAAGCGCAAAGTCTCCTCGACCGCTTCTAGTCGGGTCAGTCAAGACTGTCATTGGTCATACAGAGGGTGCTGCTGGCCTTGCTGGCATCTTGAAGGTCATGCTGGCTATGAAAAATGGCCAGGTACCTCCAAATCTGCACATGGAAAAGCTAGCCTCGACCGTGGCTCCTTTCTGCACCCCAGCTCCACAAGGTTATCTACAGATCCCTACAGAGCTCATGAAATGGCCTGCGGCGAAACCTGGGCATCCTCTCCGGGCCAGTGTGAACTCGTTCGGATTTGGTGGGACCAATGCACATGCCATTGTTGAAAAATACGATCCCAGCATTCACAGCCCGCATCTCAGCATTATGAATGTTCGTCCATCAGCCTTACGAGGAACGTCAAGCCTACCCCAAATACCCCTCTTTTTGTCTGCGAGCTCTGCGAGCACCCTCCGCTCATTGGCCAAGAACTATCTTGATTTCCTCCAAAACCAACTGCATGGAAATTCGGCATTGCCATTTGAAGAGCTAGCATGGCGTGCATACACATCCCGGACACACTTTCTCTACCGCCTTGCTATCTGTGGCAATTCCCTGACAGATGCTATCAACATCCTCTCGGAGCAGTTGTCAGATGCTAGCAATGGCCAAACTAAAGACCTCGGCTTCAGAGCACGGCGCATCGAGAACACTGCCAATGGAGACGCACCGCAGCTTCTCGGAGTCTTCACTGGCCAGGGCGCGCAATGGCCGGGCATGTCAAAAGATTTGTTTTCGACGAACCGTGTGTACCGAGAGTCCATTCGCAATCTGGACTCTGTTCTCAGGGCATGCCCTGACCCGCCCAGCTGGACTCTAGAAGAGGAACTTCAAAAACTGGATGCAGATGGTTCTCGAGTCCGCGAAGCAGCTGTTGCACAGCCGCTGTGCACGGCCCTGCAGATTGGCCTCATCGATGTTTTAGACCGACTTGGGCTACACTTTACGTCTGTCATTGGCCACTCGTCCGGTGAGATTGGAGCCGCATATGCTGCCAAGTACATTTCAAGACGAGACGCGATTTTGATCGCATACTACCGAGGCAAGAGTGTATCAACTCCCATGCTCCCGCAAGGTGGCCCACAACAGCCACAGGGAGGCATGCTTGCTGTTGGCTTGTCCCGCGAGGACGCCGATGCCTTCTGCGAAGCATTTGATGGCCGGTTGTGTGTGGCTGCCAGCAACTCGCCGAGCAGCTCTACGTTATCTGGCGACATGGACGCCGTTTTGGAAGCTGAGCAGCAGCTCAGGTCGAGAAGTATCTTTGTCCGCCGCCTTCTTGTCGACAAGGCATACCACTCTCACCACATGGCCAGGCTTTCGGACTCTTACACCAAGGCTCTAGACGCTTGTCAAATCTCACCCTTGGCCGCCGCGTCTGATCCAGACCGCAGAGTGACCTGGATTTCCAGCGTCTTCCCTGGCGATAGTGTGCCAACAAAACAACAACTCAGAGGTTCCTACTGGGTGGACAACATGGTCAAGCCTGTTCTGTTTCGGGAAGCTGCTGAGAAGGTCCTGTCAACTGTCCAAGGCGAGTTCGACTGTGCTATTGAAATTGGCCCGCACTCTACTTTGAAAGGGCCGTTTTCCGACACGCTCGCCCAGTTGTGGGCGCAAGGAACTGCTAGCTCCAAGGGCCTTCCCTACACTAGTCTACTCCAGAGAGGCAAGAGTGATGCAACATCGTTCCTTGAGTTTTTGGGGTTCGTCTGGACGCACTATGATCCACCTCTCATCGACCTTCATGGTCTGCTAGACGACCAAGAGAGAGACGTGCTCTCTGACACGCTCTCCCGCCAGCATGGCGATGTTGCAAATATGCTTCCTGCATACCCTTGGGACCACTCACAGAAATACTACCGCTACTCGCGCATTGCACGTCAGTTCCACCACAAATCCGACCCTCCACACGAACTTCTTGGCAGCCGTACGCGTGATGACATCGACGGTCACGAACTACGCTGGCGCAACTTGTTACGTGTGGACAAGCTTCCCTGGTTAGCACATCATGCCTTCCAAGGTCAGCCACTACTGCCTGCCTCAGCATATTGCATCATGGCCTGTGAGGCAGCAAAGACCCTCCTGTCGGGCCGAGAGGCTACAGTGGTCGAGGTTGAAGACATCGAATTCATCAGTGGCATTCCGCTGGAAGTCGACGGCCCCGCAACGGAGATCATGTTCTCACTCAACGTGCACCACCAACCGGGCAAGACTTCCAATGCTACGAGTGCATACACTGATCAGAATGACAACATTATACTCGCATCATTCTCCATTTTCTCAGGCTCAGAATCATCACGCATGCCTCTCGGGAAGCGATGCAGTGGCAACCTCCGCGTTGTCCTAGGCTCCCCCAGTGCGGATGTCCTGCCTCGCCGTGAAGACCCTGCTAAGCTGCCAGAAACGTTCGACGTCAGCACCGAGGCATTCTACAAGATGATGGCGGACGTGGGTTTGCGATACTCGGGACCATTTGAGGCGATAGAATCTATGCGTCGCCGCCTTAATTTTGCGTCCGCTACACTCAAGCGAATCCATGCAAAGGATACCACCAGCCTACCGCTCTCCCCGGCAACCCTTGACTCCTGTTTACAGACGTGCTTCATGTCCTACTCATCGCCAGGTGATAGGTATGTGCTGTTTTCACTTCCTCTGTTTTACTTATTAAGCAAGTCACTCACGCAAATAGAACACTTTGGACCGTCTTCCTGCCTATTCGTATAAAGAAAATAAGTTTTAGTATGGCTCATAGTGGAGTCGGCAGCACGCATTTGTCAGTGGACGCACAGCTCACGAACATCCAAGAGCCAACGTCTGAATCTCCGGCACGCATCACTGGAGATATTTGCATTTTCAATGAAGATGGAAACATGGAGGTCTGTATTGAAGGACTGACAGTTGGCTCACTGGCATCGGCCCATCCCAGTGCGGATCGTGACCTGTATCTGCACACGGTTTACGTTCCCGACCCAGACGACTCTCTTGTCAACGACTGTGCCATTCTCGGTGACACCAGTGTCGCAAATGAAGCTCTGGACAGGGTGTTGGAGGAATCCATCCTCCGCATCCAATCGTTTTACGAACCTTCTCCAAAATCATCAAGGATATGGCCAACCGACACGGACGAGGTACTAACCCAGCACATTCTCTCTTCGCCATACTCGCTTACGCTGGGCAAGGTTAAGGCTCTCGCGAAAGATAATGCCCAAATGACTTCGGCAGTCAGCGCTGAGCGCACTCTTCAGTCCTTGTTAGAAGAGGGACGGCATGTCTACCACTTCCAACGACGGGTCTCTAGCATCGTTAAGCAGATTGCCCATAAATACCCTCGCATATCCGTTTTCAACTTAACCGACTCGGAAATGCACATGTCAACGCCCATTCTCGATGGTCTATCATCTTCCTTCATCAGCTACATTTCTATGGTCCTCGGCAACGCTGACCAGAGCTTCAACTTGTATCTTGATCAATTTCCGATGTCCATCAAGAAAAAGGTCCGGTCCTCGTCCCTTGTCCAAATCGACGGCATGAAGCCACAGCTGAATGGCCTCATCACCGCGGCTTCCATCCAACCCTTTGATCTGGCAATTCTGTCCACTTCCATCTTCAAGCGGGCGACATCTAGTGAGGTCGTCCTTGATTATATTAAGTCGTTGATGCGACCAGGTGGCTTCCTTATGCTCGTCCACATGCCTCTTCAAATGTCTCGCGGTCAGCAATCAACCGACATCACAGACACTTATATCACCCCGCCAGACTGGCCCGATCTTCTCGACCGGTGCGGCTTCATGACCCCGGCGATCAAAAACACCGATCAGTACTTTGCCGGCGGTTTCTCCATCGCTGTACGACGGAGCAAGCGACTGCCACAGAGACATTTGGTGCCGAATCCCAGTGCGCTCTCTGCTGCAGTGTCGGGACCAATCAAACCAGGCGAACGGCTTCTTGTCGTCGGCGGCCAGGCTACAGACATTTCGTTGCTCGCATCCAGTGTCGGCCGGCTGCTCTCTAGCCACATGCACAATCCCGTCACAACCGTCACAGGCCTAGATGAGCTCGGTGCGCTCACCAATGCCGATCCGGCTTCTTCGCACGCCTTTACCTGCGCGATTGTCCTGGCCGACGTCGATGATACAATGTCCGTCCTCTCCTCCCTCAACGAGAGTCGACTCGATACTTTGCGAAAGGTCCTCTTTCGGCCTGAAATGGTCATACTTTGGGTGACAAAGGGGGCACGCGTGGGAAACTGCGAGAGCGCTTCTTCGTACGGCTTTATTCGCAGCATACGCGGCGAGATGCCAAATCTCTTCATTCAGATGCTCGACTTCGATCATCTCGAGTCCGACGGTGGCAAGCTACTTGTTCCCAGTCCACCCAACATAGTCTCTCCCTCTGCTGCGTCTATGGTGACAGACGTGTTCCTCCAACTCTTGCTTGGAGTTGCGGCAAAACGCAACCAAAACTCCTTCGCGTCGGCCAATGTCGCTGCCGACGAAGGCCGAAACAATGACCTTTGGCATTTGGAGACCGAGGTGTTCATTGACAGCATGGGTCAACGACTGGTCCCACGAATGCTGCCTCTCAAGCCCAGCAATGACACGTTCAATGCCTCGCGCCGAGCGGTGACTGAGAAAGTCAACACCCTTTTAAAATGTGTTGAGCTTGCTCATGATGCAACGACTGGCGAGTACAGCATAAACGTTGTTCCAGCACCTGTGCCGTCATCGCCTTTCCAAATCAAAGACGTGGAGCTCTCGAGAATCCAGGTACACTACAGCAGCGCACAGCCTCTCTTCAAAGGCCACTATGTCTGCATAGGGCTCAGCAGTGACACTGGCGATATCGTCGCAGCCATATCGAAGTCCAACGCCTCATTTGTCTCTGTTCCGCGCAACCAACTGTGCCCAATTCCTGACAGGGGTAACAATGGAACCACGCGGCCATATGCAGGTGCACTTGTTGGAACTCTTGTTTGCCTCCAGCTGTTGTCTATTTCAGCTGATAAGCCGCTAGCTCTAGTCGCTCCCGAAAATATTCTACTCGAATGCGCTCAGCATGTCTCCGCCCATCAAGGTCGCGACATTGTAGCCATTCAGGTTGCCGGTGGTGACCACAGCGCTCAAATACTAGACGATGGGTTATTCCTTCATCCCCATGCAACATACGGCCGGATGGCTTCCACTCTGTATCGATTTAAAGACGGCGCAACGTTTGTCAACTTCCTACCTGAGAATCACCCCGTGTCTCGATTCCTCTCCCGCACAGTTCCTGCCAATTGCTGTTCTTATTCTTGGGCAAGCTTGTCTAGCCAAACACAGGACGATGCTCCCCAGGATGACGCCTACATTGCCACGAATCTTTTACAGCAGGCCATCTCCATCGTTGATTCGGGCAATGGAGCTTCTGCTGACTTTGTCTTCGTTCCAGATCTGCTCAAGTCACACATACGCAACGCAAGTACAGTTCAGATTGTGGATTGGCGAGCCGAACGAGCGGTAGAAAGAGTTGTTGTCCCTCATGAAAACTTGGCGAGCACGAATACGCCACAAGGACCGCTAGGAGCTAGGCTCCGCGTTGACAGAACATATGTCCTCGTTGGAATCACACGCGACATGGGCCAAAGCCTGTCAACGCTTTTGTCCAAACAGGGTGCACGACACATTGTCCTCGCAAGCCGGAACATCCCGACATCTAGGCCTCAGTGGGCCAAGCATGCAAAACGGGTGGTCGGAGTTGATATCCGCTTTGAATCTCTAGACGTGACCGACTTAGCCGCAGTCCAACAATTCCGCATCCGCGTCGAGCAATCGATGCCACGTATTGGCGGTATCGTCAACGGGGCTATGGTCCTGGACGACCGCGTTTTTGCGCAAATGACAGCTGACGCATTTTCGCGGGCGATGCGGCCCAAGACGGTTGGCTCCCGCAACCTCGACACAGTGTTCCGTGATGACGACGAGGAAGATCGCAACAAGCTCGACTTCTTCATCATGACATCGTCCTGTACTGCTGTAGCAGGTCATGCCGGACAATCCAATTACGCCGCAGCGAACATGGTGCGTGTGCCCCTTCCCCAAGCTGTTTTACGCTGCGTTGCACATAACTTTTACTAACCAACACAGTACATGAATGGTTTGGCTGCGAACCGGCAGCGTCGGGGTGTTGCCGGCTCCGTCCTGAACATTGGCGTCATCTACGGCCTGGGCTTCTTGCAACGTGAGAAAGAGGAGCTCTATGCAGGGCTCGAGCGCGAGCGGTATCCGCCCATCTCCGAGCGCGATCTGCACCACATGTTCCTCGAGGCCATTGCTTTGGGACGGCCAAAACCGGGTCGTGCTGCCCGGCCAGAGGACTTTATCGACCTCACGACCGGTCTGAGCCGCTTCAACCCACACCAAACCGCCGACAACGAGGTACACTGGCACCGAGACCCCCGTTTCTCGCACTTTACCGTCGACGACGACAGCGAATATGGGTCCAATGAGAAGCAGTCCGGTAGCAGCGAGAATAGTAGCGCGAAGCAACTGGCTGATCTCATTGGTGGCGAGGCTGCGACGGCTGAGGTCATCGGTCAGCAGCTCGCGATTGCCTTCAGCGAACGTCTGGCGACGCTGTTGCACGTTGGTCCGTCAACCAGCGCCGATGGCAGCAACGATGGTGCCGGCCGCATTCGAAGCGACAGTAGTTTAATGGAACTGGGTGTCGACTCTCTGGTGGCGGTGGAGATGCGCGCATGGCTCTGGCGCATGACCAGCCGCGACGTGCCGGTGATGAAGATTTTGGGTGCGGCAAGCATCAACAGACGTAAGTATACGACCTCTCTTTCCGTGGCATCTGGGATATGATACTGACGACGTTGCTGGACATAGTTTGTACCGATATTGCAAGCGATGTTGTGGCCTCTCGCGGCCAATAAGTCAGCAAAAGAACAGTAGGTCGGAGACATGGCAGAAGTGCCAGCCATCCTATTTTTAGTGTGTGGAAATTTTCATTTGCTTGTTTGTATGTGTTTTTATGTTGTCATTTGTACGCGGGAAGAGGTGTCATATACAAAAATCGGTGTTGAGCGTTAATATGTTGTTGTTGTTGCTGTTTAATAATCTTCAAATGCCTCGGAAGAGGATGTCACGTAAGGTTGTGGGTTATTTCGCTGTTAGAGAAGACGTGGTCTTATTAAGTTGAGAGTCTGAAATGTATGGAATTTGAAAGTATGCATTTTAAACAATTTGAAAAAGGCTATTTTGATTTAAGATCAACGAAAGTAAATGACCAATATATGAGACCTGAAATATCTGAAAAAAGAAAATTTTATTAAATAATTAGTTGGTCGGCAAAAGTATACATGGCAACATAAATTCCAAAATTAAATTAATATATTTCAGCAAAGAGCAAACCATTCGTCATCATTCAGCAGTCATTATCAACCTCATGACATAATATAAACATGACAAAAACGTGACACATAATATTTGACCAAAAAAGTCTCCCATTATAGCAAATCGAAATTTGGACCGGCACTGTATTGCTCGTACTGACACTTCGCGGACACATACTCTTAGTCGTCGTCGTCATCGTCGTCGTCACCATGACCATGGCCGTGTCCACCCCCATGGCCGTGATCGTCGCCGTGGCTGTGGTGGTGGGAGCCCCCATGGCTGTGGTGGTAGCTCGGCACGTTGTCCTCCTCAAAATCGTCCTTGTCGTTTCGTCGGCCGTCCCGGTCCCGGTCGCGTCGACGGTCAGCAGTGGCCAACGTATCGGAGTGGCTGCTGTGTCGTTTGATGCTCCGCTCGGAGCCATCTTTCTTGAGAGCCTTGGCCACGAGCGCGCCGGCGGCAATACCGCCCGCCGCACCCAGCAGCATGCCCGTGATGCTAAGGTTGCTACTCCGCCGACTGTGTCCTGAGTGGCTGCGGGCGCTGCGGTCACTCGGCGAGACGTCCCGTGGTGCCAGGCCGCGCTGGCCCGCGTCTCGGCCCCGTTGCGTCGGCTTGTCCGCTCGTTCCCGTCCCCGTTCTCGCTCCCCTTCCCGTTCCCGCTGGCGCTGCTCCTTTTGCAGCGTTTTCACCTCAAAGCCCGGCGCTTCCCACTGCGGCTTGCCCGAGTCCTTGTTGACATAGTACCAGCGACCATGCGTGGTGCTGAACAGAGGCAGCCAACCGGGTGGCAGCGGCGGCCGTCCCCGTGGCGTTTCGTACGTCGGGCCCGCCTTGGACACGTCTGCGTCGCCGCCCGGTATTGACCGAGGCTTCCGAGACGAGGCCCCGTCGTCCCGTCCTTGTTGGTCCTGCCGGCCTCGTCCGTTTCGCGCGCTAAAGTAGCTCCCCGCCGCAGCGGCGGCCAGCCGTGGCGAATGCAGGTGGATGTCGCGGCTGCGCGTCGTGCGCGGGTCGTCGAGGCCACCGCCACTGCGTCGCCGTCGTTGTCGGCGTGCATGGTCCCGGTCGGCGTCAGCGTTGTCGTCGTGGTCCTCGTCGTTGGCCGAATGGTGCAGTGGACTGTGACCGTCGCTTATGCCTCGGCCGCCTGGGCCAGCGCGACTGCGCGGCTCGCGCGCGGCACGACTTTTGGAGTAATCGTCGTAGGTCTCGTAATATTCATAGTCAAAGGTGCCGTCGTCCGTTTCGTCGTCGTCGCGCTGTGGTCCGCTGTGGTGATAGTAGCGAGTGGTCGCTAGGGGACGGGACGTTAGTGATTAGTGCTGGCTGTGGCTGAAGAAAGACGTCATAGGGGGCATAGGGCAGAGAGGGGGCGGCTCTGCCGTGAGACGTACTTGGACCAAGGCGTCGTGCCATGGCGAAATGTGTAAACTAGGCGTTTTGCGCTCTGGCTGTCGCAAAAGTGTCTGGCTCGCACAGAAGTGAAAAAAAAACAAGACGAAAGTAGGATGTAAATAATTGTCAGTCGGAAAAATAATGTGAGAAAACATGTACATCCATTCAGCGTAAGGCAAACAAGGCTATGTCGTACATAGGTCGCTTCCGGCTGCCTTGCTGGGCGGGACTGGCCCAGGCCCTTCCTTCCTTCTACGACGTTTCTGGGTCGCATATTGTGGCTCGTTGTCGGGCAGGAGCCAATCACAGTAACGTGCAGTGGCAGTGCCGGCTTCCTTCATGTGTCATTATTGTGGGAAAGAGCCCAGGGGGCATGCAGCTGATGTCGGTCATGCCGCTGGAAATCTGCACGCGGGCCGTGTCGCAAGGTCTACGAATACGTTTCTACACCTACCCACAGCTGACCTGTGACAATCTGTCTTACAGTCGTCTTGAATGGCATACTTGGAGCTACAGGCTCGTGTTTACACAGCCAAAGCGATGAAAGGACGCAAAATAAACGACGTACATTTTCGGCAGAGACGGTCACGTGGCTCTCTTCCCTATGTTGTGACAGTGTCAATAGTGCCAGTGCCTGACTGGTGGTGAGGTCAGGAGCAAATGCCCGCCAAGACATGCCACTGGCTACCAGCGCCGGCTAAGCCCGCATTCATCCCTAGAACACTGCCCTGAAGGGCGGCGAGACGCAACCAAATTGGTGTCGTAGTGCCGAAGAAGATGAGAAACGACACCTGGAAACGGCACCAATAATGAATGTCGCTTTACGCCTTCGCCTCCCCTTTTGTTTGTCTCATCAGAAAGAGCGATTTAGAGGAGAATTTGGCTTGGACCACGTGCACGGCTCTTTCCCATGCGTTTTGCCATTCGTGGCGTTGGGAAGGTGGCTGGCGGTGTTCGTCCACTTCTTTCCCAGGAGCTGCGTCCAAAATGAGGGGTTTCGATTCGCCGAGCTGAAGAGATGGCGTCGCCTACCCCGCCCCTAAACAGCGACGAACAGTGGCCTTTCGCCACTAACAACACTAAAGCAGAGCAGCATACGCACCAAAAGTTGGCAAGAGCAGCTAGTCTCAGGGCCGCAATCCAAGGGCCCAAGCAAGCAAGAGCGAGGGAGCGTACGCCATGCGAACCCGCCCGAATCCGGCGAGCATAGACAGCTGGGCCACATTCGCAATCTCTCTCTTTTTTTCAGCTCATCTTGTTACGAACATCACCACTCCCATTGACGACGACACCGACGACGCCGACGACGCCGACGAAGACAACCACGAGTGCTCTCTGAAGCAACCGTCCCCCCCTCCCCACGTCGCCCCTCCACACAACCACCGCCTCTTCTCTCGACATGTCGTGGAACGGCGGATTCCCCGGCCAGAATTACGGCCCCGGCCACAACGGCGGTGGCTACGGTCCTCCCCAGGGCGGCTACGGTCCTCCACAGGGCGGCTACGGCGGATACGGGCCCCCGCCAGGCCCGCCGCCGCAGGGCTACGACCAGTACGGCTACCCCCAGCAGCAGTATCCGCCGCAGGGATACCAGCAGCCGCCATCACAGCAATACCAGCAGGGTGGCTACCAGCAGGGCGGGTATCAGCAAGGCGGCTACCAGCAGGGCGGCTACGACAACCGTGCCGCGGCGCCGCCGCCGCAGCAGGCGCAGTCGTTTGGCCACGGGGCGCCGTCCGACTACACGTTCCAGTACTCCAACTGCACGGGCAAGCGCAAGGCGCTGCTGATTGGCATCAACTACATTGGCACCGACAACGCGCTACGCGGCTGCATCAACGACGTGCACAACGTGTCCAACTTCTTGACGCAGCGCCAAAACTACAAGCGCGAGGACATGGTCATCCTGACCGACGACCAGCGGGACCCCGTGCTGCGGCCGACGCGCGCCAACATCCTGCGGGCCATGGCGTGGCTCGTGCAGGGCGCGCAGCCCAACGACGCGCTGTTCCTCCACTACTCGGGCCACGGCGGCCAGACCGAGGACCTCGACGGCGACGAGGACGACGGCTACGACGAGACCATCTACCCCGTCGACTTCAAGCAGGCCGGCATGATTGTGGACGACGAGATCCACAACATTGTCGTGAAGCCGCTGCAGCCCGGCGTGCGCCTGACGGCCATTTTCGATTCGTGCCACTCCGGGTCCGCCATGGACCTGCCGTACCTTTATTCCACCAAGGGCGTCCTAAAGGAGCCCAATCTGGCCGAGGAGGCCGGCAAGGGCCTGCTGGGCGCCGTCATGGCCTACGCCCAGGGCAACCTGGCGGGCGTGGCCACGAGCATTTTTGACTTTGCGCGGACGGCCGTCAAGGGCGACGGCGCGTACAAGAAGACGGTCCAGACCAAGACGAGCCCGGCCGACGTGGTCATGTGGTCCGGCAGCAAGGACGACCAGACGAGCGCCGACGCCACGATTGCGTCGCAGGCGACCGGCGCCATGTCGTGGGCCTTTATCACGGCCATCACCCAGAACCCGCAGCAGAGCTACCTGGAGCTGCTCAACAGCATCCGCGACGTGCTGCAGAGCAAGTACACCCAGAAACCGCAGCTGTCGTGCAGCCATCCTCTCGGTGAGCCCCTCTCCGTGCCCTCTCTACCCTCTCTACCCTCTCCTTTGTGGTCGTCCTTCATTGCGGTCGTCCCCACCACATGTGGTAGGATTGCCATATTGTCCAGTGTTTGCTTCTGGGTACTAACAAGACGCAGATGTCAACCTTCTTTTCGTTATGTAAGGGTCGGATCGATGCTGGGAAATTAAAAAAAAAAAAAAAACAGAAAATTGGTCGACAGACGGGAACTGATTCCCAGGCAGTGCAAGGCTGCGTCCACGTTTCTTGTACTTTGGACACACTCTACCACCGTTCTTTTTCTTTTGCGTTCTCTTGGTTGTCTCTGCTTTTTTTCTCGTTGGTTTTGTCTGCGCATCGAGTATGATTATTTGCATAGGCTTTTCCGTGAGAATCTCATTGGACGTTTTCACATCTCGTCGTTTCGTGACGCTGGGTACATTTTGTTTCTTACCGCAGAATTTCGACTCCAGGGTCCATGTTTCAGATCCCACCAGCCATACCAAGACCTT